AATGCTGGGTTGTTTCAACCCAAATTTGGGTCAAATATGGACAAACCCAAATGTTGGGTTAAAAATGTAATTAAAAAATGTACAGGTGAAAGTGAAAGTTGAAGTTGGGTTAAAATTTTAAATTACATTTTTAACCCAACATTTGGGTTTGTCCATATTTGACCCAAATTTGGGTTAAAACAACCCAGCATTGTTTAGAGTGCATGAATAAAAATAAATAGTTAACTTAGCTGTTGGGTTACTTTTAACCCAACTGGCGTTCAACCCAATCCATTGGGTTAAAATAACCAACCGTTGTGAAGGTGCTATACCACCCCATAGTTGGGTTACTAGCTGGGCTACTTTTAACCCAACATTTAAAATTTAAGCTAACATAAAATAACAATGAACATTTCGTGAGCTTAGAATTATAAGGTTCTATCTCCACTTTTGGTCGAAATTGAGTTTGACATAATCTTATCCATTAGGTGTTTATTAATGCCTGTGTGGTGTTATTTTTGTAAAAAAAAAATATTTTGTTAGTAGTTATTAATAAAATAAAACGATTCCATCTCACAAAACAGCAGGGATGTAAAAACTTTGATGCTCAATATCTCAGAACTACCCTAAACGGAGATAGAACCTTATAATTATAAGCTCACGATTTGTAAAAGCATAACTGTTTTGTTCCTTATTATTTAAAATACGCTCCTTATGTAAAATGCACACATCATGCACAAATATAATCAAACTCGGATTTGGATCAAGCAAGCAAAGTAAGTGTAAAATCTGTCCACTTTCTTTCCCTCTGTAACTGTTGTGTGAGCGAGCGTCATGCATGATGCCTTCCTGTGAGTGTGTAATGACTCGTCTATACCTTCAGCTCCCTACAGAGACTCAATATTACTGTTACCATAGTAAATGTAGAGTATGCATCACATTTACACAAGCTAGATACCCGGGGAATCATATAAACACGGTCACTACTGCAACTGCATCGACTTCAATTCAATGCATGAAATATTAAGAACATGTGAGGCATTGAATTTAACCTGAAACCTTACTTCACCTCAACATCAAAATATACTTTTATAACTCCCCTTATTCTCAATAGATTATTGTGTTTTTACTGCATTTCAGCTCAAAAAAGGCAGTACAACAAATAATACAAATTCTTTTAATCTTACTTTTTAAACTTGTAAACTTCAAATATTACTATTATTTATTGCATTGCAGTAATGAGATGTAAAAACACATTAACCTTAGTTTTTAAAAATGTAAAATCTACTAATATTTAAATAAAACATCACTGTTTTTTCTTGCATTGCTGTAGCAAGATGTCTAAATACTTCACTTTTTTATAACAATGTAAATATCACTATTTTTCTTGCATTGCAGTAATGAGAATTACTTTTCATTGCATTACAAAAATGAAGAGTGAAAATATGCATAAAGTTCTTGCAAAAAACTTAAAGGGGACCTATTACGCCACTTTTTACAAGATGTAATATAAATCCCAGGTGTCCCCAGAATGTGTCTGTGAAGTTTCAGCTCAAAACCGACCCACCGATCAATTATTTTACCATGTTGTAAACGGCAATTTTTGAGTGGGAGGAACAACATGCTGTTTTCGTGCATGTATCTTTAAATGCAAATGAGCTCCTGAGTCCCCGCCCCCTTTCCAGAATGGGGCGGAGCCTTTATAGCTCATACTCTGCCGAACACTAAAACATCTGTTTGGTTTTGATTATCATCTCCATCACGGCTCACGTGAGATTGCAGTTCTTCATTATCATGAAAGTTTATTATCTGCATGCATTTTAAAGCCATATCAGTCTAAACTTCTGATGTATAGTTTTCTGACCACACACATCCAAAACACGCACACAGAAACCTGGGTATTAAACTATGTTCTCTTTCACGTCTTATTGCGCTTAAACTGTCAAATACACACAATGTTACATCAAAAACACACAAAGTTCACTTAAACACAGTCGGTTATGTCTGTGAACGTAAACAGCAGGGAAAGAAATCGCATGTGTATATTAGATGTGTGTATTAAAGCGAAAGCGGCTTAATATACAGTACCTACCGCTATATATGCTGTTAATATGAATCAAACAACAAAAGAAAACAGAAAATCACTGCTATTGACTGAATAACTTTAGTAGCTTTAATAATAATATATTTCTTACTTGAATGCTGCTGTTAAATGCTCTAACAAGGAGATAAAACATGGTGGACTGAACAGCTCACTGAGGGGCGGAGCTATGCTAATCCATCAGCAGTCATGGGCGGAGCCTACGCATATGTGATGTCACATCGCATAGAATCCGAAACCGGCTTATTATTAAACACTGCTTATGATTTATGGGGATTAAAAAAGAGGAGTGTGTGGATTTCTATAATTATAGGGTGGTTGTGTACACACACTGCCAACACACATGTTCAAACACCATGTAAAAGAGAATTTTGCGTAATAGATCCCCTTTAATAGTCCTAAAACAGGATTCAGTTTTACCTTTGAGCACTGCTTGTGATTCTGACACCACACCAATGATCCATTGCTCTGAAACGAGAAGAGAGACACAATAAAAACACTGCAAACCACATCATAAACGAAACATTAGTGAATCACTTCGAACGGTTCATTTCAGCGAATCGATTCAAAGATTCATTTGCACCATCACTCAAACAAATGAAGCTTGACTACAAATATTCCAGTTTGAAATGAAGCCATGTGAATCAGAGCTTTGTTCACTTTTCCAGAAGCATCAGAACGGGCAAACCTTACGGCTCTGCAAATCAAAAGTCTGCTTAAGTTCAATGTCAAGTTCAAAGGATTCTTGAACAATGTAATCCAGTGGAAATTCCCTGCGAAAACCTTGGGAAACAACTTATCATTAAAGGACTTAATTTGCCATCCAGTACCGTAGGGTGTTGTGCACTTGATGTCAAGGATAATGGTCAACTAGCATCAAAGAGTTGAACTGAGACAGTGATTCTGGAACCAGAGCAAACGCACAACATGTGAATCATCAAGATTGTAATGGAGCGTAAACGTGTGTCTTCAATCAGAGTCATTAAACCAGCGCAGCCTGAACCGTTTTAGCAATTCGACTGGATCTAGTACAGATATGTTAATTGGATCACCTTTATGAAGACTGTAAATCAAACATTATTAACTTCACCTCATAAACTACAGAGGCTTTAAACCGAAACAAATCATCAACATCGTTGCAACTTGTCATTAAGCCCAATAAGATGTTATTTCATAAAAGCAGTAAGAGATCGAGATCATGTTGTGTAGTGAATAATTTACTCAACTCTAACCTCATCCAAGATGTTCATGTGTTTCTTTCTTCAGTGGAAAAGAAATGAAGGTTTTTGAGGAAAACACTCCAGGGTTTCTCCATATAGTGACTTCAATGGGGTCCAACGGGTCGAAGGTCCAGATGTGAGTTTCAGTGCAGCTTCAAAGTCTCGACACGATCCAGCCGAGGAATAAGAGTCTGATCTAGACAAACCAGCGGACATTTATAACAAAATACACATTTATATACTTTTAACCACTAATGCTGGTCTTGCACTAGCTGTGATGCGACACACATTACGTGATCAGGGTGAAAGGTCAAGCGGGACGTAGGCGTAAGAACAGATCTAGTGTTTACAGAGCGAACGTGCAAAGACTAAGACAAACGCCATTTACAATAAATAAATACATCTTGTCTTAGTCTTTGCATGTTCGCTTTGTAAACACTAGATCTGTTCTTACGCCTACGTCACGCTTGACCTTTCACCCTGATGACGTAATGTGTGTCGCATCACAGCTAGAGCAAGACCAGCATTAGTGGTTAAAAGTATATAAATGTGTATTTTGTTATAAATGTCCTCTGGTTTGTCTAGATCAGACTCTTATTCCTCGGCTGGATCGTGTCGAGACTTTGAAGCTGCACTGAAACTCACATCTGGACCTTCGACCCGTTGGACCCCATTGAAGTCACTATATGGAGAAACACTTGGAATGTTTTCTTAATTTCTTTTCGACCGAAGAAAGAAAGACATGAATATCTGGGATGACAGAGAGTAAATTATCAGGAAATTTTAATTCTGAAGTGAACTACTCCTTTAAATGAATCCCAGCTCCACTGATATATCATTCCCAGGACATTCAGAGCTTTGGTTGTAATCCTCGGACACTCGGCGTGATGTTGACCCAGCTGTTTCTGCTCGTGTGTTTCTGACCTCGACAGATAATTATAGGTCAGACTGTTAGGATATTCCTGGACAGTTTAAGCCTTTTGTTTTTAAAGCTCACAGATTTACAATCAGTTTTCTACAGCATTGCTGGTGGATTCACACTGCCAGATCAACTGTAATCCATCACACAAACTCATCCACTGGAGCGAAGCATAACCTTGTCTTTAAAGATAAACTGTGCGTTTACATCATGTATGCGTTTAGCAGGCGCTTTCATCCGTGCAAAACAACGTGCAACAGAGCGGCGGAATCAATCCGTCACACAGACAACGAGAGCGTTTAAAGATGGAGACGTTTGAGAAATATACTGTGAGATTCAGTGAATGTACATTAATGTAGGAGACGGGACGCAGAGTTGCAATTTAAATTTAAATGTAAGGACGCAGAATTCAAATTAATTAGAAGTTCGTGACTGCAATTTTTTGACTAGAAAAGTAAACATTGTCAGGACAAACTTTGTACTGTTTTTGAAAAATTTGGATGGATGGATGGAAGGATGGAAGGAAGGAAGGAAGGAAGGAAGGAAGGAAGGAAGGAAGGAAGGAAGGAAGGAAGGAAGGAAGGAAGGAAGGAAGGAAGGAAGGAAGGAAGGAAGGATGGATGGATGGATGGATGGATGGATGGATGGATGGATGGATGGATGGATGGATGGATGGATGGAATGATGGATGGATGGATGATGGATGGATGGATGGATGGAAGGATGGATGGAACGATGGATGGATGGATGGATGGATGGATGGAACGATGGATGGATGGAA